TCTAAACAGATAATAAAAGCCCCCAACAGATAAAAATATCAATGTTTTCAAAAACGAGCGATTTATAAATCCAACTCCATCATTTCACAACATAATGAGCCAATTTCATTATTTTCAACTCAATTCTATAAGTTCACAATTTTCCCAAATTAATTATACCAATTAATTTATACAACAAATTAGGGTTTTCTACCTCTTTTTCCCATATTGACCCAACGGCCTAATATCAACAACCAACAACTATATCACTATTTTGAAACCCAAAATACTCATTTTAGAATCAAAATAATAAAACCCTCTTTGACATTTTGAAACCCTACGTCCCAAAATTTCCCAACTTCAACACTTTATCAAAATCACCAAAAATCTATGTTAAAGACCAAAAAGTGAGTAGGAATCCCTACCTCAAATTCGGAGCCCAAAGTGAGAAGATGTAGAAAAAACTAAAATGCTCCAAACTCCAAGATTCACGGATCAAAAAAACGAAGCCCTCGACGATCAACACAACTTTTACAAAGGCAAGGAAAGGAAAACACCCTACCTAGATCAATACTTAGAGAGAAGGCAAGGTTTTAGAGAGAGAGGCTCTCAAATGGCTTTTTCGGAAAAGTAAGAGAGAGAAAGGATGAGAAAAAGTGATTTAAAATTGCCTCACAGCCAACTGATATACGAAATTCCTGCTCGAGCGGAAAACACAACGCTCGAGCGTCAAGAACAAAAATCTGGACACGCTCGAGCGCAATAAGGCCTGCTCGAGCTCCAAGACACAAGAATAAAGCACTCTCGCTCGAGCGCGAAAACCAGTTAGCTCGAGCGTAGATTTCCCCTTCCCAGAAGTTATACCCAGAAAGTACTACCCGCTCGAGCGCCAACAAACCCGCTCGAGCGCCACCGCTCGAGCGTAAAGAAACCCGCTCGAGCGTAGAAATCACATCTGCAGAAGTTTTGCAGGAACACGAAATAATGGTGGTATGCAATCCCCGCTCGAGCACAACAAGACCCGCTCGAGCGGAACGCCTAAAAACTGAACAACAAGGAATTTAAACCAAGGCCTAACCAACCTGTAACAACCCTCCTCAAAACATCCTAAAACTCAATCAAGTGGAATTAAAGGACGACAACAAGATAGATACCACTACCAACTTTACGGAACCGAGTCCGGAATACAACAGAACAGTAAAGGGATAACCGGGATCGCTATACAGACAGTACTGTTGTTGGACGTTGTATATGCGACCCTTGTGTATTCTTGCTTCGTGCATTGTTGTAATTAATTTATTAATTAGTCTTGTTTCAATGTAATTGTTATAGCCAATTAAGTTAGATAATTAATTTCCTTCTCATGGTTATCCTTGTTGTAATAAAGTATGTAGCTTAGCTTAGCTTATTCCATTCATTTAGTTTTGTAATAATCAATTTAATTCGGACTCTCGGACTTCGATTCGCACCCTCTTGCACGAGGGAAACTATGTAATAAGTTGTATATCTTCCAACCCCACGTCTTTCTCCCTTTTACTTACTTGCTTATGATGGTTAATATAGGGCATCATTTTCTTTTTCAAAATTAGCATTCTTGTGCTTCGCATCCATTGTCTTGCATACATCCAAGGTTCGACTCATCATACTAACCCAATATCAATGTTAAAATTCATTACTTGAATACGTGCCTTATCGCAAGTCTTGAATGAAATCATATGCCATGCTCATAGCCGAGCCTATAAAATGCATAATGTGTGCATTGCATTAGTCATATTGTATTAATTAGGAACATACATATTTTTCTAATTATTTTTCTTTGTTTTGGCTCGGAGTACTAGTTAATTAATTTTATGTTTTAGCATCTTGCATCGAATGTTTGTGTTACCATGTCAAAGCATACTTCCATGAGGCTACTTGCTTAGATGATAAAACTATTTGAATGCCTGTGGATGAAGGTTAGTTGCTTGAATTGGAATAGTTTGATTAATGTTCGTTTTAAGCCCGCTTTTTCGAGTGGCAAATTCACAGACTCTTTTCAAGCCCAATTTTTTCAAGTGGAAAATTCAAATCATTTTCAAAAAAAAAAAGTAAAATCAAATGTTCCAATTCTCGCAAGTTAGTCTATACCTTGTTTGCATCACATAGTAAGTTAACTTAATAAATCGGAACAAGAGAACATAATGTAAATAAAAATCACATCATGATTAGTAGAGGCCGATCTTTGATCGAACAAGTGGGGTGCTCAATTCATGACCTTTCCCTCTCGTACCTAAGTTCCCGAGCCAAGACAATTTGGTGATGACGGACTAATGGCCTTTGGCACGAGTCTTGGGTTTCCTAAGTTTTTCAAAAATATTTAGGTGGCGACTCTGAAATCTGACAAAGCAGTCCATTTTTGGCATTTGATTCAAACATCGATTTTTCAAAAGATTTGCCAGATTTAGACTCTTTGGTGTTTATCTATTTCACATTGCACTTGTAAAATCAGATTCAGAACCACAGGTAGAGTTTGAATTGTAGGCGCTAATCGTATCCGAAAGGAGCATGAAAAGTCGAGCCATAGGCCTTTTGGCCTATTCCATTCGTATTCAGACGGCCTTCGGCCCATCACATATTATTCAAACGGCCTTGGGCCTATCATAATATTCAAACGGCCTTTGACCCATTGCATTTGTATTCAGATGGCCTGGGGCCCATCACATATTATTCAAACGGCCTTTGGCTCATCATAATATTCAAATGGCCTTTGGCTTACTTATCAAACGACAAATGGCCTTAGGCCCAATTTAGACATATCAAACGTATCAATCGGCCTCAGGCCCAATTCATACTCTTATCACATATCAAACGGCCTTGGGCCTAAATCAAGTTCTTCACAGAGTCTTATACAAAAAATAGGCATATAAAATACTCATTTGTAATTCAAATCAACAACTCCGTGAAGCTTGTACAGAAGAAACATTTGGAAAATAACATACTTGAAAATATCTTTACTAAGATATTACTCATAATGTTCAGATGCCTGGTTCACCCTTGTAGTTGACCCTTATCATGAATTTTCCATAATTTTTAGCTTGAATTTTGATATCCCACAAAACCCTCTTCTTTTCTTCTTCTTCCTTGGGTTGAACTCTCTCTTTATTTTGGTTGCTTCCAACTGCCTTGTATCTCCCCTTTTTGAATCTCATTCATTCTTGAATTCCCTCTCTCTCTCTCTTCCTTTTTCGGCCTCTTTCTTTCTCTCAGTCCCTCAGATCCCTCTTTTCTCTTCTCTACGTTTTTGAATCTAAATTCTAGCATATATATCACACACATACACAACTTCTCTTGATGCATCCACACTACACACGTGCACATTGATCCAAGTTGCCAGCACAACACCTATACACATATATATGATTTCTATGCACACCCTCACAAGTTTCTCTGCACAACCACACACACTCACAATTCTAGATTCTTCCTTAATTTAATTTATGATTAAGATTAGCTTAATTAAATAACACGTGGTCTTCATAAATCTAAATTTACACATAATTAAATTAATTACAACTAATCATAAATTCCACATAATTTAACTAGTCTAATTAGACTTCTATTAACGCCCAATTAAGTATAATTAAATTTATCAACTGAATTAGATTTTTAATCAGTTTCCCAAAAAAGCTCCAAATATTAAATTAAATTTTATTCCATCATCAATCTTGGTTTCCCAAGCTATTAAGGTCTTCAATTTCAAATCAAACTCAAAATCTCTGTCAATAAATTTCATATTTAATTGAACACCTCATAAATAAACTTAATTTATAATAATCTTGATTCCCAATCTTCAAAACTTAATCGACTCCAATTCAGACCCAATTAATAAAATCTCAGTTTTACTAAATTGAATCGAGTATTAATTAAACTCCCAAATGGGTCCGTATTTAAAATTAAACTAATTAATTTCACTGCCTTAAGCCATTTGGACCTTAATTTCTAATTCCAAAATAAATTGTTATTAAAATCAAATGTGAATTAGACTCCAAAATTCTCATAAATCCCAAATTACATTAGAGTAATCACCAATTAGAATCCAAATCTCCTTACTCCATTAAACATAAAATCTCATACATGATGATGTTGACTTAATCTAAGGTTTATGCTAATTAAGCTCAATTAATTCATTACGAATCGTAATTTTGCCAAATTTCACCGTAGGCTCTAAAAATCATGTTAAACACAAATATGAAATTAGTTTTTGTTTCTGGCGTCTCTAAGGCTATAAATTTTTAGTTCAAGGTTCTAATTGCAACAGATTTTTCTACACTCAACAGATATAGATTCATAATCACATAAATGACATAATAACTCACATAATTAAACATATAAATTCATATCAAACACATAATCACATGCATAATTAAGTATATTATGGGTTGGGTTATCACAGGGTATAAGTTAAACTCCTCTTATATGCTAATCTAACAATTAATTATTAAATTTCATCAATAAAAATAATAATTTAAATGTACATCATACACTACGCTTTTGGGATAAGTTTACGAAGGTAACTGCTTGTAGACTAACATTGTGAAAGTAAGAATTAAGAAAGAAAGCCTTGTCAACATACTATGCAAGAATCGCTAAAATAAAATAAAATAAAATAAATAACAACATAGAATACAAGAATGTTAATATGTGACAAGCTTTAGAGAGAATTAAAACAGTTTTGTGGCAACAAAATACATGAAAAGAGATTAAAGAAAGCCTTTGTCAAGAGCCGTTCATATATCTCAATTCTATTGGTAAAAGTGTTAACATTCTACCTGAAATTCTAGTCTACTTCATAATGGGAATTTTTGATCGGGCACACCAATTTGTGTCATTGCATGACAATACTATAACATCTATGTTTATAGACATCTTGTTAAAACTGACACTTATGGGCAACTTATTTCAACAAACTTTTCTAGAAAAAAGTTTAGTAACATAAGTTAGACTAGAAAGCTAATAAATATTTCATTTCCTCATATTCAAACTCAGGAACTTGCATCTTCATCAAGGAGATTACATAATTTTGTTGCAAAAGAAAACTTAATAAAATTGTCCAAAAAGAAGTAGTACCAAGAGGTCATGCACACTTCAACGAGGTGAAACCAAGCTTGTCGCCAATGAGGATTTATGAATAAAATTGCAACAATCCCCAACAACGCAATAATATATGAGACTAGAAAGCTGACATAGAAAACCTCCATATCTATGAAACCACCATCTTCAATCTTTCTTTCCAGACCTTTTGACATTGTTGATGTTGGTACAGTTTTATTGCAGTTGGTTCGCAAGGGAAGTCCGCAGAGAAAGAGATTTCCCTCATAGCTACTTTCTTCAAAAGTTGCGAACTGAGCTTTTCGATCTGGGGTCGCACCTGATAAGTTGTTGTATGCCACACTAAAGACTTCCAACTTGTCCAATTCAATCAGTTGAGAAGGGATCTTTCCATTCAATCTATTGTAAGAGAGATCCAAACTTTCTATCTGCTTTAGTTGTGAGAACGTTGATGGGATTGATCCGAATAAATTGTTATGAGACAAGTTTAGAACATGGATGTTGCTCAAGTTTCCCATTTCCAATGGGATTTACCCTATTAAGTGGTTGCACGACAGATCAACTCCAGACATGTAGTCCAAAATATTGCCTTTATATGCATAGGATCCATGCTTTGTTGTCAACTCCACTTTTTGTTGGACATCCAAAGAGTGGAAGATAATAGTTCCATATCCAACATCCATCATATAATGTTCTCATAATGACTTTGACCCCTCGACAAAGCTCCACAATGAAAATGTTGAAATACCACCCATCTGATATCCAGTTTCTAGAGAAGATTTTTCATGGGTTGTCTCAAAAGGTATTTACCTGATAAGTTGTTGTATACCACACTAAAGACTTCTAACTTGTCCAATTCAATCAGTTGAGAAGGGATCTTTCCATTCAATCTATTGTAAGAGAGATCCAAACTTTCTACCTGCTTTAGTTGTGAGAATGCTGATGGGATTGATCCGAATAAATTGTTATGAGACAAGTTTAGAACATGGATGTTGCTCAAGTTTCCCATTTCCAATGGGATTTACCCTATTAAGTGGTTGCACGACAGATCAACTCCAGACATGTAGTCCAAAATATTGCCTTTATATGCATAGGATCCATGCTTTGTTGTCAACTCCACTTTTTGTTGGACATCCAAAGAGTGGAAGATAATAGTTCCATATCCAACATCCATCATATAATGTTCTCATAATGACTTTGACCCCTCGACAAAGCTCCACAATGAAAATGTTGAAATACCACCCATCTGATATCTAGTTTTTGGAGAAGATTTTTCATGGGTTGCCTCAAAAGGTATTTCACGAAAACAAGGAGGTGTGGAACTAGAAAAGTTATTTTCAGAAAGATCCAATATGCTTAATTGTTTCAACTAGCATAACTAAACTAGAATTTCACCTTCAAAATTATAAAATTTTAGGAGAAGAATGCTCAACACGTGAAAGCTTCCAATCCAGCTGGGAATGGTTCCATTTAGGTGGTTATCAATAAGATCTAATGTCATCAAAGAAGCACTGTTGTAAAATGCACGCGTCATTGGACCGCTTAACTAGTTTTGGTTCAAGTGGACATGTTTTACTCTCAATTGGTTGAAGCAAGACAATATAGAACCAGACAAGTTATTCTTCGAAAGGTCTAAAACTCAAGATTACCAAGTTTGCAAAACTCTACTGGAATAGGACCTTCAAAATGATTTGAGAACATAGCAATTCCCATCAGATTGGACATGTTCCCCATCCATCTTGGAAGCTTTCCAGACATGTGGTTTTTGCTAATACCAAGTGCTTCCAAAGGAGGAATAGATATGCTATCTTGAAATTTGCCTGTGAAATGATTATTGTCCAAATATAAGCATACCAATCTGGTTAAATTTATAAATGAAAGAGATATTTGGCCAGACAAATTATTGTTTGATAGTATGAAGTAGGATAAAAAGGGGCAACAAATTGTCAAATGCTTTGGTATTTGTCCAGACAAATTATTGTTGGATAAGTTTAAAAACTCCAAAGAGTGCATATCACCTAAAGAAGTAGGAATGTGACCTTGAATAAGGTTGCTAGATGTTTTTAAATTCAACAAATTTGGAAAGATCGAACCTATATTTGTTGGAATTGGGCCCTCAAGATGATTGTCAGAAATATCAATTGAAATGGCATGGGGATTAGGATATGATGGCAGTAGGAAAGGTCCCATGAAGGAGCAATTTATTAGATGAAAAACTTCCAATCACGTATTGTTTTCTAACAACCAAACTGGAAATGTTCTGACCGAGTTGTGTGATAGATCGACTATTCTGAGGTCATATTGGTAAAAGAGAAAATGTGGAAATTTCATACCAAGATTGCTTGATCCACAATTTGATAAACTGAAAACTTCCAGTTGGAACTTAGGAATCCATTTTTGAAACTCAATTGTATCACTCAATTTGTTGTTGTCACCTAAAAATACCTTATGCTTTGAATGGTTACAAAATGAAATAAATGATATTGGGGTTTCAGAATGGTTGTATGAAAGGATAAGATATTCAAGTGTTGTGAGATTACTAAGGGGAGATGAAGTAAGATTTCCAATGAACTGATTGAAAGAGAGGTCCAATATTCGAATTGATGTTAAGTCTCCCAAACATGTGGGAAGCATTCCAGTAAAACCATTCTCACTGAGATCTAACTCTTGGAGGTTAGAAAGTTCACACCAACCTGTGAAATAAAAGAAGTGATGCATAGCTCAAACATTTTATTTGCACGGAGCCACATTCATCGTAACACAATTAATACAAGGAATATGATCAAATTGTGAATACCTTGGTTAGGTAGGCTTCCATTAAGGCTAATATTCCGCAATGTTAGCACCCTTAGGGAGGACATTACTCCAAACATTATGAAGAAAGATCTTGTCAATGGATGAATAATCCAAATACAACTCTTGTAAGTGTTTCAATCCATCCAACCCTGAAAGATGTAGCTAAAGAATTACTCACTAAAAATTATGTGCCATGAAAATATGGTGATACCTTACGTGAAAGTCACAAAGAATCTGCAAATATCAAATAATTGTGACAAGGTGATGTATCATGGCCCAATACCACATGACCCAATACCTCAACCATGTAACAAAAGATAACAAAAAAGGATATGGTACACACTTCTTATGATAAGAAAAAAAATTTGAAATTTTACGATATTAGTTATAAGGATAAATTACATCAATGGTCCATACATTTTGTCCCTTGTATTATTTTGCTCCCTACAATTTCAATTGGCTCAAATTTGACTCTTAATTTTAGATTTTGTGTCAATTTGGTCTAATTGATAATACTGGTCATGTTTTTGACAGAAAATTATCACTGAATTGGTTAAGATTAACTCACTGAGTTAATTAAGTTTATATTTTTGTCCTTAAAATTATGACACATCCCACTTATGTACGTATTGTACATAAAAAATGTTAAAGGTTGTAATCAATTGGACCAAATTGAGATAAAATTATAAATTCAGGGTCAAAATCAAGTTAATTGAAATTACATGAACCAAAATGACATAAGAACCAAAATACAAGGACTACCATTGCAATTTACCCTAGTTACATACTATTGTGGTTATGTTAAAAAGGGGTGCACTCACTACTAGAAAAAGGGGCATTTGGCACGGAACAATTTGCGACGGTTTAAGTGCAGTCAAGAAATTTATTGTTTTTACGATAGAAAAAGTTAGCCCATGAAAAAAAGTAAGGTTATATGCGATGGAAAGTTAAACGTGGCAAAATTTTTCTGGTTAAATTTTTTTTTTCTTTTTTGCGACGCTCTTTTGGCAATCCGTCGCAAAATTTTATTTTTTTTCTCTTTCATTCGCGACGGGCCTTAATATCATCGCAAATAGTAATTCCTAAATTCACGCCAAAACCCCCTCCCACTCTCCCTCTTTCTCAATATTCCCAAATTCTCTATTATCTCTTCGGATAAGAAAAAACCTTCAATATTGTACCCTAATCTCTCTGCTCTCTCCCTCCCTCTTACCCAGTCGTCACTCTAGCAGTAACAATATCATCTACGTTCTCTCGCTCTTGCTCGAGCAGAAGTTCCCTCTCACCCAGTTGTCACTCTATCTCTCGCTGTTGCTCGCGCAGCGGTAATAACAACATCTGTAGTAGCGGCAACAACGACATCTGTAGCACCGTCTCTCTTGCAGCGGCAACAACAGCGTTACTCTAGTTCTCCCTCCGACATCCAGGTACAGCCTTCCTTTGCTTTCCTTTGCTCCGCTCTGGTCTTCTACCGTCTGTTTCTCCCTGCTCATCAGTTCATTGAAACTCTTTTGATAAAGAATAAAACAGTTCATCACAATAGCAATCAAGAATTTCATCATTGATTTTGTGTTGGTGTGTGTTTGATTTATGAAAAAATTGGATGTGTGTATATATATATTATACCTGTGATTCTTGATCAAACTCACAACTCAAACATGTGGTTAACCCCAATTTGTGTAGAACAGTGGGGTATTTTCATTCAGGTGCATGACAATTCTCCGAAACAAAAAGGCTGAGTTGTGTTAATTCAATGATGAGTTCACAAATTAATTCAAAAACTGTGACATTTGATTCTAATTTGATAAACTAAACTAAAACCAAAATTAAATTAAGCAAAATTAAAGTGTTATTCAAGGGTTGAAAGGAATCTAGGGCTTTAAACCTTCCCTAATTTTGTATGACCTATATCAGCTTTGAGAATCAATTAATTAATAGAGTGCCTGTAGTACGCGCCCGCGAGGGGCCCCGTTACAGTTCGGACTCGATTTTGTTTGTCACGGTTCTTAATCTGAACCAAAGAGTCCAAATCCGGCAAATCGTTTTGAGAAACAGATTTTTGAAAAGAAGTGCCAAACATGGACTGCTTTGCCAGATACAGAGTCGCCACCTTAATGTTTTATTTTGGGAGAATTTAGGAAATCCTGACTCGGTGCCAAAGGCCACGTGTCCGTCATAACCAAAGTTGCCTCGGCTCGGGAAATTGGGTACGATTGGGGAAGGTCAGCTATGAGCACCCCCTCTCGCCCGATCCGAAGATCGGCCTCTACTAACCGTGATATTCGTTTTTGAAAACGTTATGTGTTCTTATCCCGATTATTAGCCTAGAATTACTATGTTACGCGCACAGCAAACAAGTATAGACTAGATTACCTAATTTGGGAATAAGCATTGCATATCCGTTTGTTTTGGAAAATGTTTTGGAATTTGCTACTCGTAAGTAGGCTAAAATACGGATTTTAACGAGTTTTTCCAACTCAGACAATCCAACCTTTACCCACAGGCATTCAAACAGTTATATCACATAAGCAGCTAGCCTCATGGTAATCATGCTAGCATGACAACACCCACACGTATGCAAGGATGCAAAAGCATAAATACTTACATCATACTCCGTGCCAAAACAATAAACTAGTTAGCCAGCATGCATGGTCCTAGTTCATGTCAAATTGACTAATGCAACACATACGGGATGCAATTAGAGTAGGCTCGGCTAACCTAAACATGGCATGTGAAATGCA